CACTGGAATGAAGGGAAAGAATTAGTATAAATAGGAAAGAGTATAAGGATGGAAGTATCTTTGGGACTTGGAACTTTGGGCACCTCTTTGGTGATTGGGAGAGTCTAGAGCCTCTATAATTGCTCTAGAATTATCTTACAGTATTTCCCTTTCAGTTATAGCATTTTCAGTTCATTGTATTTTCCTTTTCTTGTTAAATTGTCTCTGAGTTGTTATCTTTTTCATATTATAATACAGATATAGATACAACAATATACAGATCTGTGTTCCTTTTCCATAATCCATTGTATGTTAGATTTATTTTCTGGTTGGTCTGTATCAATAGGTATCATAGGATACCACCCTTAAACCACCTCTAAAGGTATATTCTAGAAGAAGCTGAGTCAGCAAGGCAGTTAGAAGCAAATATGAGTGGAAGGCAATTCTGTTAGTGTCACACGTGAGAAGCAACACTGGAATGAAGGGAAAGAATTAGTATAAATAGGAAAGAGTATAAGGATGGAAGTATCTTTGGGACTTGGAACTTTGGGCACCTCTTTGGTGATTGGGAGAGTCTAGAGCCTCTATAATTGCTCTAGAATTATCTTACAGTATTTCCCTTTCAGTTATAGCATTTTCAGTTCATTGTATTTTCCTTTTCTTGTTAAATTGTCTCTGAGTTGTTATCTTTTTCATATTATAATACAGATATAGATACAACAATATACAGATCTGTGTTCCTTTTCCATAATCCATTGTATGTTAGATTTATTTTCTGGTTGGTCTGTATCAATAGGTATCATAGGATACCACCCTTAAACCACCTCTAAAGGTATATTCTAGAAGAAGCTGAGTCAGCAAGGCAGTTAGAAGCAAATATGAGTGGAAGGCAATTCTGTTAGTGTCACACGTGAGAAGCAACACTGGAATGAAGGGAAAGAATTAGTATAAATAGGAAAGAGTATAAGGATGGAAGTATCTTTGGGACTTGGAACTTTGGGCACCTCTTTGGTGATTGGGAGAGTCTAGAGCCTCTATAATTGCTCTAGAATTATCTTACAGTATTTCCCTTTCAGGCATTTTCAGTTCATTGTATTTTCCTTTTCTTGTTAAATTGTCTCTGAGTTGTTATCTTTTTCATATTATAATACAGATATAGATACAACAATATATAGATCTGTGTTCCTTTTCCAAATCCATTGTATGTTAGATTTATTTTCTGGTTGGTCTGTATCAATTGGTATCAGAGCTCCGATCTAGGAGCTGTGGTATCAGAAAAAAAAAGAAAAAAGAAAAAAAAAATGGAGAATCAATTTCTTAGAATGAAGATCCCTGTGTTTTCTGGTGAAGAAGATGTTTATGAATGGTTAAATTGGATAGAGTGGTATTTTCGCAAGAATGGTAAATCAGAAGTTGTGTGGCTGTCAGCAGTGAGAATAGCGTTGCGGGGAGAAGCTTGGGACTGGTACTTTTGGTAGAAGCTTGAAACGAAGGAATTTACATGGTCGCAATTCCGAGCAGATATAGTCGAACATTTTCTGCCGTTTGTTGAGATGGAGAATGATGTAGAAGTAAAAGATCTAACAGAAGAAAAAGAAGGGATGGAAAACAACGAAATAATTTTAAGAATGGAAAGCTCTATAAGTCCAACCACATCGTTAGTGGTACCAGAAATAGAGGTTGAGGCTCAATCAAAGGAAGAAACGGAAGCCAAGGAAGAAATGACAAACCAACCGGAGATCTGTTTGGAAGATGAGAAAGTGAAAATGGAGCCGCCAAAACCAGAAATTATGGAAGGAAGAGAGAAGATAGAGACCGTGGAAGGGGTACAAGCTCTGAAGCAGAAAACAGAGGCTATTATGGAGAAAAATACAATCGAGGAGGAAGTCGAAATTAAAAAGGAGAAGAAAAATCAGGGGGAATTCATGGCAGTAAATGAAAAACAAATCCTCAGTTTCGCGACAAAGGAGAATGGAAAGGAGAGCAAAGAGATCCAAGGAACCCTCAGGTATGCAAAACCTGAATCCTTGAAACTGGAGACGACACAACCTATAGCGAAGGTGGCCACACCTCCTCTATTACCAGACCCCTCGAACCAGAACTTTACAGGGGAACATGAATTTTCGGGGCGAAGCCATGAAGGGTATCAGCTTAGATCAGGTGAGAAATTGGGAGAGGTGCAAAGTAGGTCAAGAAGTGACTTAGAGACATTGGGCCAAGTTGAAGACCTGAAAAGTCAGGCCCAGTTTCACCTCAAAACATCTCCAACCCAAACCAATGGTATTTGTATTTTATTTGGAGGTTGGGCTTATGAGCCCAAAGATGTAGATCTGCCCCAAGAAACAAACTCATATGATGATACAATAAAAAACAGTGCGTACGATAAGGTGGATTCCAGAACCAAGGTGTCGAAATATAAAATGTTTGTTACTGGAAACGGCACGAAATTACTTGAAGCAGTCAGTGATGTCCACCAAGCTCATGCCAACCAGGAGGAATTTTTTAAATCACAAAAGAAACAAACAGAATGGATCGGAAACATTTGCTTTGATGTTCTACCTGGTGTTTTGTTCAATATCCACAGTGTTGTAACCTGCAAGGATAAATATGGCGCTATTCCTGGAAAATACAGCCTTAAGGTCAAACATAGTTCCCCTGAATCAGCGAACTTGGAAGATAATTGTTGCTGGGAGCAGAACTTCATGGATGTAAACATTGGAGTTGAGGACTTTGAAGGAATTTTTTTTGTTCAAGAGGGCTATTGGGTCAATGTTATCTCCACTCATGATGTTAATCTTAGCATGACTCGACCGGATGGGTCAACTGCGCATTTGAAGATTCAACAAGGTTCCCAGTATTTTTGTGCAAAATACGTTGGAATATTTGAATTTATTTTTGACTCAGGTAGCTGCATGGAGCCTTGGGATTTTCGCGGCCTGCTTGACTGCAAGAAACCGGCTTTGACGGTATATTATGCTTCTACCTTGTGTTCATGTTGTTCGCAAATTCTTCCTAGACAAATGAGGGCACGAGCAAAACAAGAATGGGTGTCAATCATGTCCATTGCTTTATTTTGCCTATCGATATCTGCAGATTATATTGCTCTTGAGGTGTTTGATAAAATACCTGCAAGAAGTGGGATTACAAAAGCAATTGTGCGGTTTGGTAAGGAAAACAGAGCACAAGGGCTTTTTGATTTAATGGAGGAGCTGAAATTAGCAATACAAACACCTGGGCAGCAATGGTGCGAGTTGAAAATTTCTCCAATGATTGATGTATTATGGGGTAAGATGATTTATACACGACAGCTGCAATCTCAAGGGATGATAAAATTGACGCCATCCAAGGAGAAAATGCTCCAAAAGGAAATATTAAATGCTGGTTCACTTCGAGGATTACTCGAACAAGGTAATGCATTTGAGGTCCATGGAGAATTTATTGATTTTGTTGACATGGATCATTGGGACTGTAGCTGTAAGGGATGGCAACTAACTGGATTTGCTCGCTGTAAATGCAAGGGTTGTAATTGCACGGGACTTGGCCACAAAGAAGGGCAATGGGATCCCGGTATTTTCTTACACATCAGTTGGTCCCTATATTTTAAGCAGTGGGACCCGGGGGGGTCTTAGTTGACTGAACTGCACCTTGAGGACAAGGTGCTTAAAAGGGGGGGAGTATTGATAGGATACCACCCTTAAACCACCTCTAAAGGTATATTCTAGAAGAAGCTGAGTCAGCAAGGCAGTTAGAAGCAAATATGAGTGGAAGGCAATTCTGTTAGTGTCACACGTGAGAAGCAACACTGGAATGAAGGGAAAGAATTAGTATAAATAGGAAAGAGTATAAGGATGGAAGTATCTTTGGGACTTGGAACTTTGGGCACCTCTTTGGTGATTGGGAGAGTCTAGAGCCTCTATAATTGCTCTAGAATTATCTTACAGTATTTCCCTTTCAGTTATAGCATTTTCAGTTCATTGTATTTTCCTTTTCTTGTTAAATTGTCTCTGAGTTGTTATCTTTTTCATATTATAATACAGATATAGATACAACAATATACAGATCTGTGTTCCTTTTCCATAATCCATTGTATGTTAGATTTATTTTCTGGTTGGTCTGTATCACGTTATTTCTCCGTTTCAATCTAATAAAATATCTACTTCCTCTTAGATAGGACAATCTCATTCTATCAAGGTGATGGGGTAATTAGAAGTGTAAATTTGTTTTGGCTTTGAAAAAATTATGCTTGGCTTGCATATGTGGCTTTATGCAGGATGAAGTTAATTTTATTTAGTCTGCATAATGTTTAACATATTTGACCACTGATTATAAAACTAAACCACAGGTTTGAAAATAGATGACACGGGTGAAAAGGGGATGAAATCCATAGGTTACCACTTACCACTAGGGAGCAAAACAAAAATCAGGGAGCCTGGATTTGTTTCAGATACAAATAGGGGTGCGACGGATACATTCCCTAACATGAGTTACTCCCCCCCCCCCCCCAACCACCACTATTTGTACAAAAAAGTAAAAAAGTGTCACCAGAGGCAGAGGTAAATCTTAAAATGTTACTTGATCAGACAATAAATAACTGATTATATTAGGTATAAGGATATGTAGAAGATATGGCAAGATTATATCTTATAGTTTATGGTATCTTAGAAGATATCTCTCGGATTAGTTTCCCTATTTCCTTAATAAAAAGATATAGAACAATCAGCCTCGTAACTACTAGAACAAAAAATAGAAAAATAAAATAAAATCAAAGAGTGCAACTATTTCATAAATGTGTTAAAAAAAAACCAGCAAGTAATGAAAGGAAACTACATATGACCAATGTCATCACGGTAGAAGTTCCATCAACCAAAAATTGTATGCGGCAAGCTCAATATGGAAGGCAATACGTGCAAATCTAACAGTACAAGAAAAGCATTTAAAAGATTCCAAGTCCAGCAATCAAGTATAACAAGCATCCAAAAACAAAACAGACATGCAGATACAATGTCATAGAAAACACGAACCTATCATCTTGTCTCCGAATTCTAAATTAGCAGCAATCTTAGCCATGTCCCTCCTGGAAGCAAACTCCATCACCTGCTTCCTTAAATACTCCTGATCAAACCTGTACCACAACCCAAAACACACAACCATCTGCAGAAACATCACCATTTCCGCTGCACCAACTTCACCGTCGAGTTGCTCCTTCCACAACTCCACAAGACCATCTGCTCTCTCAACAATCCTTCTTGAAAATATCCGCGATTCCGAAAACAGCGCCTGAACCAGAAGCCCACACGCCCATCTCTTATCCGTAACACCAGACTTTGACAATTTGCTATTCAGAAACTCTTCAACCGCGTCCAGCACTAGCCTCGGAGAGTCCACCGCCTCCTCTAACGCCGGCACTATCTCCGCCCTCAGCGACGCCGATTCTTTACGCTTCGAAACGATGAACCGCAACAACGCCGAGGAATCCATCTTCCGCAACAAGGATTTCAAGATGGATGCCAATTCGAGATTCCCCGGAACGGGCTTTTGGAGCTCGGCGAGAGCCGCTTCCTTCTGCTCCTCAATGCGCGCGGCGGCGAAGGACTCGCGCTCTGGGATGGAGTTTTCACGTTGGTGGAGGGATTCTAGGGTTTCCCTGTGGCGAGATTCAAGGGATTGAAACTTGGAATCGATCAATTGGGATTTTTGGGTGACAGAGTCTTGGAGGGAAGAGAAATGTTTGGAGATGGTGGTGAATAGGTTGGTGCACGTGGCTAGGATGCTCTTGTGAGCTTCGAGTTCGTTGAAGAATTGGTTCACCCTGTCTGAGGATGTTGTTGCCATTTTTGAGTGTTAGTACTGACTGTATGGTTCTCAAACGAAAACGATAAATCCTAATAAACCATTCAGAAGAAGAAAAAGAAGAGCTTGCGTTGCTTTTAGTTACAGATTCCCACACAAGTTTTTTTTTTTAATTGGTAAATGCTGTTTAACGAGATGTGAGAAGAACATGGATGATAATGAATAATGATGAGTAAACAGCGGCGTCGTTTCACTAAAAATGATATTGTATGTTATCAAAAAAAAAAAAAAAATGATATTGTACTGTTAAAATGGGCCCAATCTGTTATCAACCAAAATCAAGGCCAACTCTAACGGGCTGGGCTGCATATATAATGTTAGCTTCAGTTTTATTTTTTTGGTAGAAAAATATTTTACAAGCCTAACGAGGACTTACAGATGATTTATTAACAAAAGATTACCGATGAGAATTAGAACCCAAATCCTTTTAATTTGTTCATGTTTTAAATTTGTTAATTTGAAAATATTCAGAGTAAGTGCTTAAAAAATACACAGGATATCAAATTGATCATAAGATTCTCTATATCAATTTGATCCATAGTAGTATAAAAATAATAATTAATTAAAACATCAAGTTGATAAGGAATTAATATGCATTGCATGATTAAATAAGTGTCCATTTCAAACATTGAAAGACCACTTTATTGTTCAAAATCTTTAAAGAACAACTTAATAATTTATTTACATTTGGAAGACTAATTTGATTGTGCACTTAAATATTTATATATTAGATGTTTCACACTCAATATCCATTATTACTCTGTAGTCTAGAATATTTTTTGAGAAATGTAATTTTTCGATGGAGTAAGCTATGAATGTTGATTATAACTTATGAGGGTTTTAAATTGTGACCATATAAGAAACATATGGTTAATGTTTTGTCAACACAATGGAGTTAATATCCCGATTTGAATTTACAGCCTTTCTACTCAATTCTCAGCTATCCTCGAATTACTTGAGCTATAACAGGTAACACTACTTAAAGTCAAATCGTACTTCACAATATGAGGAAGATTGTTGATCCGTACAACTTAAAAGTGTTAGCGTTCAAAAATAAAATGAATAAATTAAAGAAAAATTTATTGTATAACAGTTACTTATCCTGCTTCATACTCTAGAGAAAACACTCTCTGAATTTTCCATGTTAAGTTTACTGCTTCAAATGAAACAAGGCTGAAAGTTGGGCAGTGTGTACTCGGATAGTTTAGGTGTTATTTTGTTAGAGGCTAAATTTTTCTGTTTGTTAGTATTGTTGAGAAAAGGAACGAAGAAAGAGAGATAATGCCTCTTGGCAGGTTCGCTACAGCCGATGGCTTTTCTAGCTTCTTCAAAGATAAGATAAACCTAATGACAATGACTTCCTTTTTGGCTTATTTGGAGTGTTTCCACAAGCAACGTAATTGACTTTTTGGCTTGCAGCATATTAATTGATTACTTTGTTTCAGGCTCCTATTTTTTTTTTCTTTGATCAATCAACAAAAGGTGAAAATAGAGGATGAACACCACCAAAGTCCCTACCCATAACACCAAACTGCAGTGCAGATAGACTAATTAGCGTTCTTCATTGGTGTGCTCAACCATAACACCTAGATCTCATCGAGGAAATAAACCAAAACATGAGATGGGCAGATATATTCTTTACTTCTTGAAGGAGAAATCTTGTTACCCTTTTTCCCAGAACTGTCTTCTCTCTCTCTCTCTCTCTTAATCCTACCATGTGGTCGTGTAAATACAGAAACTAACGCAAATTTGAAGAACACCAATCATATTAACTTATACCATGTGGTCGTGTAAAGACAGAAACTAACGCAAATTTGAAGAACACCAACCATATTAACTTTTACCATGCAAGGCACATATTCACAAATGTTCTAAGTATGCATTGAAGCCAGTGAAAGCAATTTCACATACAAAGAGAAGAACCAAGCCAGGGGTTGAAGGAAAATGAAAAAAAGAAGAAGATAAAAAGATAAAAAGAAAGAAAGAGATACAGAGATAACTGTGGCATTTAGCATTGTAAAGAGATTGTAGAGTCTCAAATTTCCTTAGTCTTGCCTTTAAGTACCTCTTTCTTTACAAGTACTCTAGAAGGATCAGCAAAACGAACAGAGAAAGATCTAGACAGATTCTCTGGTTCTTCAAGCGCAGTCCCTTGATCAAAATTCTGAGAGTAAGTATATGGATCATAAGGGACCTGCAAGGGTGATGCACACACAAAAAGCTTCTTCTTCTCTTTCTTGAGCTTCATCCACAACATTTTCCACCTCAACTTAGGTGATCCGGTGGCTGATAGACAGTTTACGTGCTCAATCTCATTGCAACCCAATTGGATGGTTCTAGTTCTATTGCCAGAATTACAGCAACTTTTGATATCCATGGCTGCACTAGAACAAAGATTTCAGCTGCTTGAACCCAGGATGCTCAAAGCCACACGGCAGTGTGTGTAAAGAAGCACCATGAGAAGTGACAAAACTTGGAATATAAACGCATAGTATTGGAGCTGAAACAAGAGTGGATTGGCTATACTCTAGGAATTTTGTTTATTCTTTTTCAGCTTCACTTGTCAAAGTAAAAGCTAATCAGCTAACCTCAAAAGAACAAAATTATTCTCTTTTTAATTAAAAATTAAAAACATCCAAACCCAAGACCTGTGCCACCAAAATTTTCTACCCTGATTATGTGGATCACATTCTGTATAGTAATAACTAAGGCACGTGATGCACGTGACAGACTGCATGTCATTGTCATGTGGAACTGTTTTCTTCTGGGGCAACTTTGCCATGTGGATCTGTGCTTAGGCGCAGCATTGATATACTTTTTCTTTATTTGATGTATGCTTTTTTATACATCATGCTTAAGAAAGATAGCCAGATTGAGCGGCATTCGCGACTGCAACTTTATACAAGCCCCGTTAAAATACCACTATTAGCCGGGGAGAACTAATTACTGAATCCACCTCCTGCTCAATAAGCAAGTTAGCTCGTACAATCCCGTTCTGATACCATTGCGAGCCGAGAACTACTACCAATATGGTAAGGCTTCACCAACTACACTAAATGTATCCGACACCAAGTTTCAACCAAAAAATTTTTAAGAGACTTATGTTTCTTCTCACTTATTTTTAGGAGGAGTTTAAATCATTAATCTTAAACTCGTCTAAAAAATGATTAACTCCACATAAATACATATGATTTATCTAAAAAAAATAAAATAATAATCTCCACTTTTTGTAGTAGGTGGAAAAAAAAGAAAAAAGAAATTTAACCTTGGGGGACAGGAAAGGAAGAAACAAAACAAGCCCTAATATCATGTGAAAATGCTTTACTCTAGCTATTCGCAACGATGGGGTTGGTTTTCCCAATAGTGACGTGTCACGTCTCTTATTCAAGATATGAAACCTTGTAGGTGATTTTCCCATCAAGGGTGAGCGGAATCAGGGGTCAATTCAACATCCTTACGGTGAAGTAACCCAAATCAAATTGAATTCAATTCAAATGATACTTTAAAGAGAGAAAGAGAGACGGAGAAAATACATGAACCACTGCGGGAAAGAATAAAAATAATAGAACAACTGCATCCTAATTTTCATTAATAATTACATAGCATAAAAGATTAAAAGAAAAAAAAAAAAGGAATTCCTGATATTTTTATCGACTAAATATTCAGAGAAAATATTCAAAAAATTAAAAGGATGAAGTAGAACAATAATCAATGGAACATATATGTGATTGCCAAAGCCACCAGCATGAGGAGGTAAGCAATTCCTTGATCAACCGCAGTGCCTGCATTTACAAAAAAAAAAAACAAAAAACAAAAAAAAAACAAGTTAAACACGTTTAGCAATGAAGAGTTAGTTATAAGAGAAAAAAATATGAAAATGAAAAGGCATTGTTTGGAGTAGTAATTACCATCGCTGGTAGGAGCAGGAGAAGGAGTAACATCGAAAGCTTGGCCGAGATCGGAGATGGCCAAGAGCACCAAACTGAGAATTGAGAAAGAGAAAAGCCTCAATGCCGTCATTTCCAACATTTTCGGGGAAAATTGACCCAAAAAAAAAAAAATAGGGAGGCGAGTGAGAAGTGAGAATGAAAATATCTGAGGTGGTTGGCGAGAGAATGGTGGAAGAGATATACTTATAGGAGAAGGAGTGAAATAAAGGAACTTAGGGGGCGTTTGGTACACGGCATTTGGCCGGATTCCCGGGAAACTGAATTTTTCTAAATTTTAAATTTCCGGATATTATGGTAAACTGAATGTAAAAATCATATTTTTGAAAATTGAGATTCCCGGACAAATAAAAATTTCTCCTGTACCAAACGCCCCATAAGAAGCGCGTCAATTGCCAACTGAGAGAGTTCCAAGACCCGCCACCATTCTCGACTTGAATCGGATACGACACCGAGTTGAAAACGTGTTTAATTTATTATTTTTTTAATGATAATAAATATAAATTAAATATCATTTTTTTTGTATAATTTTAGAGAAATAGATGTATCATTTTTTAGAAATTGGTTGTGTATGGTATAGACACAATTCATGTAGACCCCACCACTTTAAAAAAAAAAAGTGCTGGGGTTCATATTGATTGTGTCTATAACATGACACAATAATTTCCTACAACATAATACATCTAATTCTCATAATTCTATGAGTTTTATAATTGTTATTTAATATGATAATTGAAATCTTCCTATTTTCCAAAAAAAAAAAAAAAAATCTTCTTATGCATTTTTTGATCTCTGTGTTGAGTGGGTCTCACATATAATTTTTTATTTCTATGACATAAGATTTCAATTTTCATATAATTTGAGAATTATAAAATTCTAATTCTATATTTTGCCATTTTTTAGGATTGATTTTATGGTGTATATTAACTGGGTGTTGTTTTTCTCCGAAATAAACAACATTCTTCTTATTGATATATCGATTGTCGTGATTTCTTATTTTGTATTTTTAGCTAGTAGGACCCATAAATTTTTATCAATGCAGGAATTAATTTAATTTTTCCAACAGCATAACATGTATAATTCCCATATTAATTATTGATTATGACATGTAAAAGTGGTGTGTTTTTTTCATTCATTTCCTTTTTATCGAGGGAATATTTCCAATTCTGTTTCTCATATTTTCTTTCCTTTAAAATTAATGTAACAATCACGAGTAAAATAATTATAATTAGTCAGTCATAGGCATGTCTTCCACAAATAAAATCAAATGATGAATATATTATTAATTTTTCAAAAGAAACAACTATTAAATATGTATTGATTGAATTGAATCGGATTGATTCAAAAAAATATATTCTAATCCATAATTTTCTTGTAATATTATACATCTGGCTTCTTTAATTCAAAATTTAAATTTGATTCAATCTAAATCAATTTAGATTTGATATTTTTTATTTTTTATTCGAAAAATCTGAAATATTTATTAGAATACTTTTTTTATTGTACACAAATCATCAATTTCATCAAAATAAGAAAAATTAATTTCATCAAAATACATCCGTTCAAATATAAAATGAATATCAACACATAGTAAATGTAAATTCATTAAAATATAAATATAAATTCTTAATATAAAATGAAGTTAATTTTAATCTAACGATATAAGTTCAAATCAAAAAGAAAAAAAAATAAGTTTAACTTGTGAGATATGATAAAAAAAAGTTTATAAATAAGAGTAATATAGAATTTTTAATTAAAATATTATTAGGGAAAAGTTCACCAATGCCTTTCTAGTTTGCTTCAGAATCATCTATGTCCCTGTGAGTTTTTTTATCACATATGCTCCTTGATTGTAAAAAGTAAAAAATCACAGGAGTATGTGTGATAAAAAACATACTTTTTGCAAAATATAAAAGCATATGTGATAAGAAAAAATCACATGAGCATAAGTGATCTTGGAGTAAATCACATGGGCATTGGTCCACTTTTCCCGTATTATTATCTATATAATATATGTATACTTTAAGATCAACTTTTACATTTACATTGGAAAACTTATTCATTCCAATAATTTTTTTTCATTTTTTATATTTATTTCATGTCTTAGTTTTTTTAAAATTTTGTTTACATAATTCAATTTAAAAAACGCATCACAAATTATAATATCTCAAAAGAAAATAAAGATTTTTTTACCAAAAAAAATTAAAAATAAATAAAGATTTTGAATTTTAAAACCCTATATCTGTACCCCAGAACGCGCTGTGGGCCAGGTCCAGATGGCTTTAAAGGGAAGATTTGGGTCATGCCCGTCACCACAAGCAACATTTATGTGCGCTGATTTCTCGATGAAATTCCCATCCGGTGAAATCTCCCGAACACGAAGGGATGCGATAACTCTAATTTTCAAAAGAATGCTTTATTAAAGCATAATTAACGAAATTAAATACTAGGATAAATTAGATAATTAATTGATTACTCAAGGAAACAAACGATTTGCAATCATTTGATATTCTTTTTCGTTTTTCTTTTTTGTTGGTTATTTTGATTGCTGGGAGAGAGTCTCGAGTTGGATTACTTTTTTTCTTTCATTCACAATATTTAAAGGGAAAAGTGTTTGTTATTTTAAGAGAGATAGACACAAGAATTTTTTTTATTTAAAATTTAAATTAAAAAAAACCACTCACTTTCTCTTCCATGATTTTCATTCCTTGTATCTATCTCTCTTTTAAAATGACATAACTTATGTTATTTAAAATGACAAACACTAAACCCATATTTAAATATGATATTTTACTCAAAGAGAATTAGAATTTTGTGTAATGAGAACTAAATAAATCTTTTTATGTTTTATTTAATATGATATGATTACGTGGATGAATCATAATCATACAAACGTGCATCATGAACAATAATGATGATTTTATAATTACTTATTTCAATATATTTTTTCTCTATTTCTTCATTATTATTCATTCACCTTATTATGATTTCATCAAATAACCCTGTCATATTACCTCTCATGTTAAATAAGACATGGAGGATCACTATCACTAAATTATGAAATTTCCGTCGGAATGTAATGAATCTTCTAAATTGCTTTTGGACAATTTTATTATTAAGGGAAAGTAGCGCAATCAGATCCTTTATTTTCAGCGTTTGGAACTTGGGATTTGCTCGTGCAAAACGCATGGTCGTAACTCGTAGTCAAAGCTGATGAGCAGATGCACGTATGAAATCCATGTCAAAGAAATTTTGAAGTTTGACTATGCTATGGGTTGAAGACTTGCAGCGGACAATTTTACAGTGATTGTAAATTGAGGCTTTGGTCCTTTTATGGTTCACACAGATAGGTTCTAGAAAAGTCATATGTTGCCAAAATTCCATAAATGGTAACATAACTCGTCAACTCATGGCTCATTGCCAGGCCATC